TGTAGGCTGACTCGTCACCGTCTTGGATGAGACCAATGACCGTTGTGTCATCAGCAAACTTTAGGAGCTTGACAGAGGGGTCCTTCGAGATGCAGTCGTTGGTGTAGAGTGAAAACAGCAGAGGGGAGAGCACACATCCCTGGGGGGAACCTGTGGTTATTGTCTGGGTGCTGGATGTGGTTTTCCCCAGCCTCACCTGCTGCTTCCTGTCTGTCAGAAAGCTAGTAATCCACTGACAGGTGGGGGCAGGCACAGTGAGCTGGGTCAGTTTGGAGTGGAGGATGTCCGGGATGATGGTGTTGAATGCTGAGCTGAAGTCCACAAAGAGGACCCGTGCATAGGTCCCTGGGGAGTCGAGGTGTTGCAGGATGTAATGCAGTACCATGTTCACTGCATCGTCCACTGACCTGTTTTCCTGGTAGGCAAACTTCAGGGGGTCCAGCAGGGGGTCAACGATGGCCTTCAGGGGGGCCAACACCAGTCTTTCAAAGGACTTCATAACTAGAGATGTCAGGGCGACAGGTCTGTAGTCATTCAGTCCACTGATGGAGGGTTTCTTTACATCGTGGTATTGCTGTTGTTACTTAAGTAAAAGATCCAAATACTTCTTGCACCACTGCTGTTGCCATGTTAAGGCACTTGGGGCAAGGAAAGATTGCAGTCAGACCCCCGTTTACCCATTCCCCTAAGTGACATCCCTGTCTGCACTGTATATAACCCTGTCACCTGCAAACAGCAGATTCCACATTGCAGCTTCATTACAGTATATACACCCAGAAACAAATGCTCCTGTGCAGGACCAACACTAAGTAAAACTAAATAAAAATACAGTGGTCATTGTGATAATTAGATTTAAAGCAGGTTTATTTAGGAATGTGTTCCTTGTCTGCACAGTGTGAAATATAAAGGTGAAGAAAGTAGATTTTGATCCATGACATGAGCAGAACCTTGGGCGATAATGAAGAACCCGTCTGAGGTCAAATTGTACCGTAGTGGTTCATCTGTCCCAAACAGATGTGCACTTAAACAGGAACTAAAGGAGAGTGAACCTGCAGGATCCAGTTCTGTGGTTTCAGCTCATGCAACAAGCTTATTATTTCTTAAATTAGTTTTTATTTTTCTAAAGGCCTTGCTCTCCAGAAAGATTAAAGACAAGCAACAACTGCCTTCTGCCTTGATCCTTGTTGCACCAAGCACTACAATGTTCACAGTAACCACAGTAAATTCCATGAAGTCCAAAATGTGTTTTTGTACACAGCAAAACAAATAATGTTTTGTTTTGAGACTGAAATTTTATGTGAATTCTTTCAAAACTGTTCAGTGATTGTCACATTTAAACAGCTGTCACACAGATTATCAGTGTGATGTCAGATACATTGCACCAGCTGTAATGTACAAATATAGGAAGGTTAAGCTGCTGCCTGATGGAGACAAACCTGCATGAGGAGTGTTTCCTCTGAGCTGCAGGTGTTGTACTGATCCACTGGAGGACACTGCCACGATGATCACACACAGGCAGCTCAGCAGCTGGAACAGCTGGTGGAGCATCTGATAATTGTTCTAATGTTACACAGACCGATCCCCAGAATGAAACAGTTTACATAGTTTGGTACTTTTCACGTCTCTGCTTCTGACATATGAGCCTGGTTTTACTTCCCCTTGTACCACGTGCATTATATATTCATGACTTTAAGAGAAACCAGCTTTGTACTGAATCTCTTCTCGTGTCATGTTTGTCTCCACGTCATCACAGGTCAGTGATAAGAGAGTGTCCCGACACCACGGGCTGCTGGAGAACCTGGACGGACAGCTGCGCCTTAAACCGGTACATGTGTCTTAGTCTCTGAGATGATTTACACATCCACACCAGTGTTCTGGCAGGTTAGACCTTTAGCTACATACTACATTTACTTAAATGACTGCGTTTCCTGAGCTTTCCATCACGGTTTAAAGCTGAAACCTTTCTGGATAAAGTATCCTGGCTGTAGTGTGTGTTGTCTGCACGGTTCATGTGCTACTGCTGCTGTTGCGGTAGAGGCTGTCAACGTGCACACAGTCTCAGGGGTCAGGTGTCGTACATCCTGTTGACTTTCAGTTTATTTCTGTGAAAATCAGCGTGTTTGACACAGCTGATCCATAAGAGTAAATGTCTTAGAAGTTACTAAGAACACTGACCTTACACAGTAGCGCAGATGGAAACCCTCCAGCTGGTGTGACACAGGGGCGCCACCGTCCGATGTGTGTTAGTCTGTCACAGGTGGTGTCCAGTGCTGGCTGCACTGCCTGTGTAGATGTGCGGGTGTCTACAGCCGCCCTGTAGTGGTTCCAGCTACGAAACATTCTTTTATACACACTCTTGTTGTTTTGTTTGTTCTGTTTGTATTAATGTTTACGTCAACCTGCCTGGGCTGCAGATGAAGATGTATATGTGTGGCTGACTCTGTCGTTTAGTGTTGACTACCTGTAAAATTCAATGAAAACAAGAACGGTAAAAAGAAGGTCTGTCAGTGAAGACACAGCGTGGAAGACAAAACTCACCAGAGCTAATTTTAAGTTGTGTTTTACTGACTTTAAAGCCTGTTAATGTGTCAGCACATCTCAGCGTTTGTCACACATCCAACACTACGAGAACCGACTCTTGACATCTTAATCTATACCAAAGCCTGACGTGCACTGTTCGTCAGTGTTACATTGTTTATCAGTGACTGTTACCCTATAGAACAAATGTAATGAAGTGAAAACCAGAATAGTAGTTCCAGTGTGGACAAAGAACTGGATTTTACTATTTTCATTTTGATGTGTAGACCCACCTGAACCCGTGCTTCGTCCAGGCGTCGCTGACCGATGACCCTCGACCTCTGCTGAAAGACTCCTGGTACCCTCTTCATCACGGAGACTTCTTCTCTCTGCTGCCGGGTCAGCTCGTCTACAGGGTGGTGGCCATGGGCGGAGGCGACCACACTCCCAGATGCAGAAAAATGTTTGTCTTTGTTTTTAAGTTTCTTTTACTTGTGGTTTTATTTTATTATTGTTTTTATTTTGCTGTGCACGTTGGGGGGCGTTGGGCTGGAGTCACATTCCTTATATTTTTGATAATAAGTGGCAATTAAGTTTATGCTTATGGTTAAAAGTGCCCCTTTCCATGTTTATACGCTGTGTCATGATCAAGAGAGGAACCTCATTAACAAATGTCTCTGTGGAGAAGAGGTTGCTGTGTGCTGCTGAATTCAAGTCCCACCCTTTATCACTGCAGATGGGACAATGTGGGGGTGAGTGGGGTCCAACTGAAGTGTTATTAAATAATAATAATAATAATTTATTTGTTTATATAGTGCTTTACAACACCGAAGGGAGCTCAGAGTGCTTCACAATAAAACAGATAAAACAGAGCATGCCAAAATACATAAACAAAAGAAAAGTTAACATTGCACAGATTTAAAACAACGGTCTGGGAGCAACTCTAACACTCCTGCACAATAAAAATGAGTCAAAGTACAAAACGGAATAAGATTAGAGAATATAAAATCAAAAAGCCTGTAGGCACCATTTTAACACCACAGCTAAAAATGAAGTGCCAAAAGCCAACTGAATAAAAGTGCCTTTAATTTAGACTTAAAAACCATTAACTCCATTATAGACCGAAGCTCAGGGGGCAAGGCATTCCAGAACTTGGGGGCATATACGGCAAAAGAACGGTTTCCCCACTTTTTGTACCTTGCCCATGGGACAACCAGAGACAAGTGCTCAGAGAAACACAGCGCTCTGACCGGGGTATGAATAATTAAAAGATCAGACAAATAAGCCGGAGCAAGGCCATTAATGGCCTTGAACACAAACAGTAAAATTTTTAAATCAATTCAGCTGTCCCAGAAGCCAGTGAAGAGACTGGAGGACAGGGGTGATGTGAGCATTCTTTGGGGTATTTGACAGTAGGCGAGCAGCCGCGTTCTATACTAGTTGGAGTCTATGGAGACTGATTCCAGTATAGAGGGCATTGCAGTAGTCAAGTTGTGAGCTAATAAAAGCGTGAATGGCTTTTTCTAGGTCGACTCAAGATAAAAAGGGCTTCACCTTTGCTAGGAGCCTCAGCTGAAAGAAGCTTGTTTTGACCACAGAATTAATCTGCTTGTCAAATTTGAGGCTGCTATCAAATAACACTCCTAGGTTTTTCACAGTTTGAGTGAATAAAGGGGCTGAAGCTCCTAGGCCGGTTGC